CCGTGTGGTCTGTGGGTCAGCTCTGAGCATCAGAGGGTCCCCTGAGCTTGTGGAGAATGAGGTGGAAGCAGGTCCTTGGAGGGCTCTCTGAGAAGTGTCAGGAGCGAGGCAGAAGTGGTAAATTGAGCTTGGATCGTGCCCCACTGAAGGACGGGCGGGCGGCCCATTGCCCCTGCCTCCCGGTGTGGGCCCTGAGGCTCAAGAGAGGTGAGGGGCCCGCCCAAGGGCACAGCACACCTGCCCAAGGATCTGATCCCAGAGCCCACTCCTCAGGTTGCCCACCTGGATGGGGAGAGGTGAGACTGGCCTTCGACATTACCTTTGACCTTGCAGTACCAGAGAGCTGGCCAAGCAGTATTAAGCCTTGTCCTGTACGGTTCCACTTTAAGCCACACTGGAGCTCGGACCTGACCCGTGTATATGCATCTTGTTACCTTCCTACCACCTGAAATTTCCAAATCCAGACACATAGCTGGTCCTAGGGGATTGCGGACCTGTAGGTGAGACCAGGTTGGGCAGCTGATCACACACCTTGTGGGGCGAGATCATCTAGAGTCAGGGCTGAGAGCCTGTCTCACTACATTTCCGCAAGAATTCCGGCGGGCCGTGGCTTCCCTGGGCCGGATGGCTAGTCCCTGGGGCTCGCCGCCTGGGAGGAGATGGAGACCAGGGAAGGCCTGTCTCTCGGTCCCTGGGAGGCCTGTGGTCTGTTAGGAAAGCTGGACCTTCGGCCTGTTCGTGTAGGAAGCACAGCGACAGCCCGGCCCGGTGGACACGCAGTGTGGGTGGACGTCCGCCACGTCAGTGGGTTGATTCAGGTGGTTCTGCAAACCCCAACCTGCGTCCTTCCTTCAGGTGTGGCCCAGAGGCGCGGACGGCTTCCAGCTGGGAAACAGCTGCGGCCAGCTGCTCGGCAGGGCCCGGGCTGGTGGGGGCCCCCGGGAGGGGGGGCCAGTGAGCAGCCCCCCACCGGGGGTCGGTCCTGCCACGCTCCAGGTCTCCTCCTGCCCCCCAGCTCCACCTGCAATGGACGAACCCGTGGGGCCTGTTTTCGGCCTTGCATTCTGGGGTCAGGAGGGGCAGAGGTTGCCCTAAAGGGGCTCGTGAGCCTCCGGCAGCGGGGAGACATCACTGGTTTCCCCTTTTCGAGCCAGACAGCTGTGTAAAGGGGGGCATGTCCCTGTGTCTACACTTGAGCTGCCTTCTGGTTCATTATTCCGCACTCTACCATGAGCTCCCTGGTACCGAACAGCACTTTAAAGTGAAGATTCGGCCTCAGGGCTGGTTGTGCCCCACCTGGGCCTGTCGGAGGCTGAGGACGGCACGCTCGGGCTAAGAGAGAGGGCAGTGGGGGGGGGGAAGGGGCCACGTGCTCTGGCCACTTTGTGCCTTGTGCCCCCTTCCCCAGTCGAGAGAGGAGGCCATGTGTCATCAGCAAGATCTGTGCCACACATGCAGGGCAAACCGCCACCATCCCTCTGTCACTTGTTTAATAATCACATGAGGCCCACATACCAGTCAGCAGGGGGTCCGGCACCCCATCCCTCCCCTCAACGGCCCAAACATCCCAGGGCCCTACCGAGGGCCGGCGCCCCGGAGCTGGAAGGCCTCTGGCCCTGCAGGCTGCTCCCCTACCCCAGCTCCTGCTCGGGCCCAGGGCTCCTGGACCGGTGGGTGGGGCAGTCCCCCACCTGGCCCCGTGGGGACAAGGCAGGGGGGAAGGAAGCTGGCTACTTCTGGGGAGAAACCAGAAAGGCCTCTGCCCCGCCGTGGTTCTCAAACCTCAGTGTGTGCGCCATCCACCGCAGGCATCTTCGGGGACGTGACTCTGGGGCCAACCTGCCCGCATCCTCTTCCTCAGGCCCAGGGTGCTGGGAGCAGGGCACCTGCTTGAACGAGGGCCAGGTGCTGCGTTCTCAGCGGGGTGCGAACACACTGAGCAAACTGGGGCCTGTGCTACCGCCGCATGGCCCCGGTCCTGGACTCGCTGCCCCCCAGCCTAGGCCTTGGGTGGGGCCCCCCGGCTGGCTTGCAAGTGTCCCACAACCTTCCCGGGTGCCCACTTTTGCATGGATGAGAAGACTATAAACGGGCCTCTTGACGGGACCAGAAAAAGTGTCTTCCTTCCCCTGAAGAGGCCGTGGCCCCTCTCGTGGTTGGGACAAAAGGATGCTCCCAAGCTGAACGATACAGCTGCCCTGGCTCAGGGGCCACGTCTTTCCTCCAGGATCTGGTGGCCTCCTGGAGGTGCCGGTGGCTCCGGTCTCAGGCCCCCTGCTCCTCAAGCCACCCTCAGGTGAGCGTGGGGGGCGGGGAGGGAAGCCTGGCCTGCTTCAGACTCGGCCCTGTTGTCTGCTGTTGGCCAAGAGCTGGTGCCACGTACTGTCCTCGCGGGGCCCTGGGATTCTTGGAATAACTCAGCTGGAAGACTGTGGATCCCAGGCCTTCTTCATTCTGTGGCTAGTTTCCTGCTGGAGAAAGCGTGGGAGCTGCAGGGGTGAGGGCTGAGAGAGCGGGTGGCGGGCAGCTTGGTGCGGGCTGCAGTACGATCCTGGCAGCTGTGGGCCCACGTGGAGCTGTGGAGAGAGCTGTGGGGGAACCCTGTGTGCCTCAGCTTCCTCATCTCTAAAAGAGAGCACTGTAAGGAAACCGAGGCCCGTGGGGCGTATCAAGGAGGGCAGTGGGCTCCTGGCCTCCAGCGTCATCATAGGGCCGGGTACGCCTACTGCTGGCTGCCGGCTCCCTCCCCGGAGCCGCTAAGAGGAAGCTTTATCCTCAAGTCTGAGTGTTTGAGCTGCTGGTGAGGAGGGGGACAGTGTGGCCTTCGGGAGGGACAGGAGGGTCCACTGTCTGACCCCCTCTCCCCAGGGCAGCAGCCAGGGGCTGGACTCTGCCAGCTGAAGCCCAGGCCTAGTCAGAGGGACACTCTGGGGTCATGTGTGTGGGGCATGACAGCCCAGCTCTCTGTCGGGGGTGCCCACTAAATGTCAGAGCACAGAACTAGATGTCATGCTGGTGGCGCCAGGGGAGTTGGGCTGAAGAGTGAACCAGGCCTCGGGCAAACTGTACCAGGGTCAAGGCCCGCTGACGGTCTATGGGCTTAGGGACAATCAGCATCTTAGAGCCTCAGAGAGGCGAGCTGGGTGGGCGGCGGGGGGCGTCATCCATGGGGAGAGACGGCTGGGCGCCTTCCACGGTGGGGTGCGCAGAGCCTCCTAGCGAGTTGGGGGAGCCCAGCGAGGGCTGCGGCCTCCCTGGGGCTGTGGTGCTTCTCTGGGCCTGTCCTCGTGGAAAGCCAGTGTTGACCGGGCCTGGAGGCCAAGCACCCGGGCTCCATGCCCTCTGGCTGACCACAGCATGGGCAGCCCCTCTGCCCGCTTCTGAGAAACACAGGGCTGGACCCCCGAGGCTCCGCAGCCCTTTCCTGCTTGTCCCTGCCTGACCCACCCACTGGGAGCGCCTGCCGGGTCCCCCGTCGGAGCTGCTCTGGCACTCTGCAGTCCCCGTGTGTCACAGCTGGCTGGGGACGTGGGAGCATGGTTCTCGCTTGCCTGGGCTGCTGTCCCCAGGACTTGGCCCTGAGGGCGGAGGTGAGGCCAGAAATAAGAGAACACATTGGTGCGCAGAAGAGCGGAGGGAGAGGAGTGCGGGGCGCAGGCTGCGGTGAGTGGTGCTGGGTGGGGACGGGGTGGCGTTGTCCTCCATGTCCCCCTCCGCTCAGTTAGGAGGATAAGGGACTACAGAGAGTGGAGCAGTGAAAAGGCCTTGGCGCCCCCACCTGCCATGAGCTGGAAGGCCCAGAGCAGCTCTAGGGCCAGCACACCTACACGGCAGCCCCTCCCACCAAACCCCTCTTGACACAACCTGCTGATCCTACGTCCAGGCTCCGCGTCCCCGTGGCCCCAGCAGAGGTGGGGCCTGTGTGTTCTGCCTACCCCAGGGGCACCGTTTGCCCCCCGGCTGAGCCCTGGCTAAGCACTGTGCTTCTGCCGGGTGGTACTGAGGAAGGGCACAGGGAGGTTCCCGGGAAAGCCGGTCTCCAGGGCGGGGACCCCCGGCTCTGCACGGGCTCCTCGCAGGGTGAGGAGGGCCGGCCCATGGGCAGGGCATCGAGATGACTCCTGTTCACAGCCAGGACCCGTGCGAGACCAAGAGCTGCTCCATGGACCCCATCAACACTTTCCTCTTCCCCAGGCTGGACTGTGAGGAAGCTCCTGGGGACTCGGCTCAGGACCACTGCGGTGGCTGCCATTCACCGGTGCTCCAAACCATGAGCATGTTCCAGAAAGTATTCATCAGGCCTGGAACCACCACCGGATGACTGGGCCACAGAGTGCCTTAGACCAAGCAGGGGCTGGGTAGAGCCGAATCCGAGATGTCCGTGCTGGCAGACTCGGCGGCCTGGCAGGACCAACCCGACAACCCCGAGGGGCAGATGGGGGCGTCGGGCCTTCCAGCAGACTATGCTGAATGGGCTGCTGAGGCCATCTCCGCCTCGAGGTGAAGGAGAGAATGAAGGCGCTGGGCCCCCGGGTCCATGAGGAACATGGGCCCAGGCAGGGAGGGGCTCAGCTTGACAGGCAAAGGGAGCCAGGCTCTGCCCTCCTGGGTGGTCCTCATGGTTACACGTGGTGCGACACAGCCAGGGGAGCGAGCAGCTGGAGCTCGACTTACCGCCTCCGTGCCCGAGAAAGAGGTGTGTGCAGCCCTCTGGGCCCAGGCCGGGGATGGATGGCACCGCTGGGCAGAGGCCCCCCTCCGCAGGGATGAGCCCACACCAGGGTGCTGGCTGCCACGGGCATGAAAGCAGCCCCGGTGGCCCTTGCCAGTCCCCACGAGGGGACGGGTTCCAGCACTGGCTGGGCCTGGCCCCGGGCCTTGGAAGTGGCACACAGGTGCCCAGCCTCCAGCTGAGCATCCCTCAGCTCCCCCTTCAATGACCTGACCCAGGGCTCATTTCAGAAGGAGGGCCGGTTCAGTCCTCATGGGGTAAGTAGGAGTCAGAGAGGTACGTGTTGCCTTTAATCGCTCAGTTACGACGGCTTTTGTTGAGAAAGGGTCTGTTAACATACCGCAAAACAGAACCAGGCAAGAGGTGTTTAGAGCTGTCCGGGTGCTGGAAACACTGCCTCGCCCCCCTTCCCCAGGCCCGAACCCCCGCAGACCGGCCCCGCTGGTGGCGCGGGGGGTGCTCGGCCTGACCCGCCGCCCAGCCCCCATGGCCGGGCCGCTGCATGGGGGGTGCTGGGGGGGCCTGGGCAGGGACGGGAAGGCAGGAGCAGGCCGGGTGGGGGCCTGGGAGGAGCTGGGTCTCGGCTGTCCTCCCCGCCGGCCCTCACCGGGACACCGCAGAGCGGGGCGCGGCGCCGCCGCTTATGGCCACGCAGCTCCGGGTCTGGGGTCAGGGGACGCCGCATTGCTCCAGGTGCCCCTCTGCCTTGGCTCAGGGCGGCCCGGGAGGGCACTCAGGCCTCCTCCTCCTTATTGCCTTCCCTCGATTCCTCCTTCAGGTTCTGGGCCATGAGCTTCATTTGCTGTTGAGAGAACACAAGACACGGGGGGGGGGGTAAGCCACGCCAGCCTGCGGGGTGGCCCCCGGGGGGGTGACCCAGGCTCCCGCCCCCACTGTGAGAGGCCCTGGGCGATGGGGTCTTGAGCTCCATCAGAGCACACTCTGCGCCCTGAGAAGCTGGGGAGCGGGGGTGCCCTGACACTGCCCGAGGCCCTCCCGAGAGCGCAGAGCCCCCGCTGCTGACACTGAAGAGATGGGGGCCAGCGGGCGTGGGCCGGGGATGTTGGGTTGGGTGAACCTGCTAGAAGGGGTCCTGTGTGTCCTGCCTACCCCAAGGACGCCTGCAGATACAGGGCTGAGACGCAGCCACGGGATTCTCCCGCCCCAGATCCCCAGGCAGGGGGCCTGGAGCACTGACTTGGGACCAAGTCCTCGCTCTGTGCCTATAAACTTGGTGACCCAGGCAAGTGGACCTCTGTGCCTCTGCTTCCACACCTGCACGCAGGGAGCCGTGAAGCACATTCTGCATGGTGGTCACTGTACATGGAGTCCCTGGCCCAGAGCAGATGAGCCCAAACAGGAGACATTTTCGCCAGCCCTCTGTCCCTACAGCTACAGGACGATCCCGAGCCACTGAGCCATCCAGTGCCACTGGGGACATCCTAAGAAATCTCCCTGAGGGCCAGGCCAAGACAGAGGTGCAGCCTGCCAGGCTCACAGGGAGGTGTCAGAAGGAGCCCACAGCCAAGGACAAGGCAGCTGGGGGTGAGGAGGTCCTGCAGCTCCCAGTCCTGGGGCGCCCCCCGTCAGTCCCCGAGGACCCCACCCCCCCAGCTCCCAGCCCCCTGTGTCCGTGGGTGCTGGAAAACATGACTATAGCTCTGCCCTGTTTGTTGAAAAAATGAATAACTCCTTTGGAATTTGGCTGAAAATACCCACGCTGCTTTTTGAGAACAGTTATTTACTTCTGGGAAAAACACAACTCTGAGCTCAGACAAGGCCGCTGCTGCTCGAGGTAGCCGACCGCCCCTCTTGGAAGCCCCCGGGCACCACATGGGGCTGGATCCGATGCCGGGCTCTCTCTGTTTCAGGGATAGGAGGCCCATTCACAGTCTGCAAGCAAAAGCCTCTGCCTCCTGCTTCAACCCCATTTCCCCTTGTGAGGATCATTTAGATCTGCAGTAGCTCGGGAGACCCCCGTTCTCTGAGCCTGGAGGCTGCCCCTCTCCCCGTGGGCTGCGGCGAGGCCTGCCTGGCTCTTGCTGGTCCACATGGAAACAGGCTTTAGGGGATGGCTTCTAATGGAGAAGGGGGCCGGTGGGTCATGGGGACCAGGGAGCTCTTGCTGCACGGGCCACAGCATTTCCGCAGGCCTCCCTGGAGTAAGCCGTGGGCACAGGAGCGGACGCCAGCCTCAGGCCCCACGGCCACGATGCCTGTACAGCCTGGCAAGGTGACGGTGCCCGTCTGAGTTAGCTCGCAGACCTGGAGGAGCAGAACCCCAGGCCACGTGAGAGTCTCCCAGAAGTTATGTTTTGCATCTGCCTCCTTTTCTGCTGCTCGTAGCACTTCCCATCCTCTTAGGAGCCCGCTTTCCCTGTTAACTGCGGATGTAAAATACCCTCATACAGGAAAACTGTACTATTTCAGCCCAGATTCACTGCCGACTCTTCTAGCTGGTGTCATTTAATACTTACGAGACCTTTTTAAATGTCTTTTTATGAGAGAGAGAATATGAATCTATTTGACAAGCAGCCATAAGAAATTAAAGGCTAAATAAATGTAACTAAACTAGAACTATAATGAGGATAAAATATTGCCTAGCTTGTCATGGAATCTTCTAGCCAGGCCTCCCTAGCATTCCACATGGGGAGGAAAATCCAAATGGGTTTTGATCCAAAGGAGCCTGTAAGGCTCCCTGCAGGGAGCAAGCTGCTCTCCCATTATGTGTAGGGCTTCCGCTGGGTGGCTCCTGACACAGGGCACGTCCGGGGCTGTCCGCACTGAGCTGCGCGGCTGGGAGCAAAGGTAGAAGCGGTGGCCAGGGACCCCACCATCCTCCCATGCCCCAGCCCAGGGGCAGGAGCACTCTGCCCAGGAGTACCTGTCTCCACAAGTGCAGTGACCAGGCCCCTCCATCTGGTGGGTTGGGTCAAGCCTGCCCACCGCCCTTCCCCTCGGTGGTGGGTCCCCCAGGGCCTGATCTGCCTCATGGAGCTCTGTGACCCCCACAGGAAACATGGCCCATGGTGCGTGGGAAGGCTTGTGCTCCCCGGGCCTTTGCCAGCGCAGGGCTGAGCGCCCCGGCTGTGAGGGGAGCCGAGGCTTGGCTTATCTCCCTGCATCTCCTGCCTTCCCTGCTGGACATGCTAGCCAGCGGCCTCAGCAGAACTTCAAACCTGTGGCTCAAGCCCAGAGAAACATCCAAGCAGTTTAGAAGAAACAAGCTGCAGCAGCCTGTTTGCCACAGAGGGAGACTTAAACTGGTTTTGAGGTCAGTGAGTGGCACCCAGTCCTGTCCGGTGCAAACAAACGGGCAGGCCTCTGCCATTCCTCCTGAAAGATGGGAGTCAGAAGCCACTGCGCCTTGAGGCAGCTTCTCTCAGGTAAGCCAGCTGCTGTCCACTGCTCGCGGGTCTAGATCCCCTCCATCTGCTGCCATGACCTTGGAAAAGGAGCCCCACCCCACCCTCCTGGTGCGGAGGAGCCAGGAGCCTGAGCCCCAGCCCAGCCTGCTTCCCGCACCCTCCCCTACTGCGGGGAGACCATGAGCACTGGCAGGATGAACTCCAGAAGCACAGATTTTCTCATCTGAAAGAACCTTGATGATCATTCAGTCCTGTGGCCACTTAAGAATCTGGAGAAGCCTCTTAAATGCAGACTCATCGGCCCCTCCCTGGGACGCTAACTGGCTGGTCTGTAGTAGGGCCCAGGTCTCTGAATTTTTAACAAGCCCTTGAAATTCCTCTCCAGACCTCCCCAGACTTAGGAGTCTCTGATTTGTCGCCTGTCATCTGTCACAGAGAAGCAAGCTGGAGTGGAGGGGGATGAGCAGGCCCCTTCCAGGCCATGCTGTGGGCTCAGGCCAAGTCACAGAACAGCCCTTGGGGCACCAGGCCAACCCCTTGCAGCCCAGCTCTTCAGCCACTTCTGCTCTTTAGCAGCCCTGCCTGGGGAGATGCAATGGCAGGGAGCAACATTATCCCATTAAAAAAACCTGGCTTCTTTAGGGATTCTTAAATTAAAGCCTTATTAAAAATATAAGCAAGGTAATAGTGCTGACTTCTTCCCTACAAAAAGCATCAGAATGAAGAGAATGAAATCTTCCCCAATTCATGACTCATTAAAACACTCATGCTCCAAATAATTCTTTAAAAAGCACAGACTGACTTCTTACATCATTCATTATTAGTAATGATTATAAGAGGAACCTAATCACCAAGTGTGTTGTCCAAATGCACAGCTCAACATAAGAAAGGATGCATAATTGGATCCATTTTTCCCTGTGGAGAAGTTCAGAAATGCTTCCTGAGCCCTGCAGTGCTTTCTACAGATCTGGGACGGCCCCTTCTCCCCACCAGGCTTGTTAGCAGAGACTCTCTCTGGCTGAACCCACAATCAGCTCTGGGATCTTGCTATTCATAGCACTCAGGAAATCACAACCAATGGATTACATTACTGCTCAATTTGAAATCTGTTAGCAGCTACTCCATTACCCCTTCCCCTCAAAAGCAACAACCACCCACAGAAAGACTATTTGGGCAGCTCCTAGCTGAAGGACCGAAAGAGCCTGTGCATTCATCTCTTCCTGTTTACCGGAAGCTTCGCTGGCCAGGAGCTGGCTCCGTGCAGAGCTCAGTGGCTGCCATGGGGCCGGCTGCTGGCCTCACGGGCTCAGACAGGAACCGGGTTCTCGGGCCAGTTCAGTCGGGTAACGGCACCTGCAGCACCCGGCTCCCCCGACTCATGCCGGCCTTGGCCTCGGGTGCGGAGGCCTGATGACAGAGAGCTAAGATCACCAGCCCCCTACCCACCTCCATTCTGATGTAACTGGGCTCCCCCAGGGTGAGTCTGTCATGCAGGTGGGGTGGAAGGAAGCCACTCCTCCAGCTCGAGTGAGCGAGTGAGCGGGAAGGAGCAGGACTGGAGGCCTCCCTTGTGCACAGCCGTGTCCGTGCACCCCTCGTTAGCACAAGCGAGCGAGGTCTTCTCTCTCTGTGTCATTCATTGACCAGGCTGAGGCTAAGCAACTTGTCTGAGGTCATGTAGCTAGAATCAGGGCAAAATCAAGCAAGGGTCTGGCCGTTCAGGTGAAAAAGAAAGTAAAGAATGGGACGTTTCACAAAGACTTTTTTTTTTACATTTTTTTTTAGTACTCTCTACCCCCAGCAGGGGGCTCGAACTCACAACCCCAATGATCAGGAGTGGCGTGCTCTTCTGACTGAGCCAGCCAGGCGCCTCAAAACTGTTTTTATTTGTTATATCTAGAGGAAAGCTTACCTCAAACAAGCAGTGTTTTGGACATATTCTAATATAACAATGAAACACTCCAGATCTGCCCTGGGCCTGGCAATGCGTTCAGGCTCTGACAAGCCCCACATCAGTGAGGGAAGGACAGGAGGGTGCAGGGGCAGCGGCCCCTCAGGCCGTCTGGAGGGCACCGCCTACACCACCTCTCTCTCTGGGGTGCCTGGTTCATCTCAATATTTGACAAAACGTACAAAATGTGAGGTCTGCTGACCATTAAACACACGGCGCTCTGAGTCGCACATCTTTACCCCAGCCAGTTTCTCTCCCAGTCACCCCATCTCAGGGGCCACTACCACCTGGCTGCTCGGATCAAAACTTGAGCCCTTATGGTGGATGCCTCTGTGCCCCTCCTCTGTCTTCAGTACGCCGTGGGGCCCGGCCCGCCCCCCGCCCCCCGACCAAGCACACCCGCTGCTCCCAGTGCCGGCCTCCCAGACTCCTGGACGTTGTCATCCCAAAGCAGGCCAAGCCAGGTTTTAAGACAGGGGACAA